CACAATGATGCCCGTTCTCACTATTACCGAGCATGTAAATTATATATATTAAACATGGACGAGTATAAACAATATGTTCCTACAGGTAGTTATGTAATACTGACAGGGACATTCTCGCGATCTCGCATTCTCGCGATCTCGCATTCTCGCGATCTCGACCTTTGGAAACGAGCTAAATATGCCAAAAACACGAGAATGCGTGTTTTTGATACATAACACTTTTTGTCGAAAATCGACAACGCGAGAATGCGACATTTGGACATGATGAAAAATTTATTTTCTCGCGATCTCGCGTTCTCGAGTTCTAGTTTTTTAGACGCTGTCCGTGCGCATGCGTGATATCATAAGGTCAAGGCGCATGCGCACATTAGTAGTCCTGCACAGTGGTCATGCTTCTATCATGCTCTTCATTCTCCAAGTAGCATTTAGAAAATGTATGACTTGAGCTTGAAAATGCTATCACGTAATTTACATAGACAAAGACCCATGTAGAGTAGAGTAGACTCCTCTCCCTTTGGTGCTGTTTTCTGTGTACTTTAATTTAAAACCCTCAACATGCTAAACATAATTTAACAAAAGAAATTGTGTACATGAATGTTCATGGATAGTGAAAACATTAAAGTGTGAGGAAGCTGGAAACAATATATATCACTGTCAGTTTAATATTGCTTAAAGCCACATCAGCAGTATTGCTGTATCAGTTACAGAAATAATCACATTATTATTCATTAAAACAAAATTCTCAAAGACCAATTTGTAGCATTCTGCTAAAATGAGCTTGTCCGATGTTTTTACACGACACCATAATCACTTCTTTAGGCCATACAAAATTAATTAATAGATTATCATCCTTTCCCACCTGACTACAAAACATCCCGCCTTACATTATTCTATTGCCTCAAACTTCCTAGAAAAGAAATATCGCTAATATGTGTGTTCCTACTCTGTGCACGTAGCCCCATTGAACACGCATGTTGCATGTGAATCGCATCCTTCGACAGCAATTGTACACAGATGCCTTAAATGATTCGACAAGAAAACAATAACATCTTTATACTGAGTAAGTACCCCCAATATCCAGCCTGAGGGACCGGCATGGCTCTGAATAAGTGAGTGACTTTGGCTCAACACCGCTTTGAACAGTATTTATATTTCAGTTATTCCCTGGCTTGTCAGCTTTAAATGGGACGAACCCACCATCATAGGTTTCTGCCACGCCCACGGGACGCAACTTTACGTACACAGCGAATAGCGACGCCTCAGAGGACTGAGCCACTAGGTCAGTGTCCTGGTAATTGGCAGAAAAACGCGAGAACGCGAGATCGTGACATTGGTCAAGTTTCGCAATCTCGCGTTCTCCTAACTGTATAAGCAATTGACACAAAAGCACAAGATCGCGAGATGGCGACATTGGTCAAGTGTCGCAAACTCGCGTTCTCGCGGTTTTGAAAATAGTTACATATAACTGCATAGCCAATTGGCACAAAAGCACGAGAACGCAAGATCGCGACATTGGTCAAGGGTCGCAATCTCGCGTTCTCGCGTTTTTGAAAAGAGTTGCATATGACTGAAAAGGCAATTGACACAAAAGCACGAGAACGCGAGATAGCAACATTGGTTAGGTGTCGCGATCTCGCATTCTCGCGTTTATTACGGTTTGAGTCGAAACATGTAGCGCTTGCCAATCAGAATTCGCATAAACACACAATGACATGTTATAATAAACATTCTTCATTTGCACTGGTAGTTACACTGATTAATTAATTGAATTGATTGTCTCTGAAAAGTTTTTGTGTACTCCAACCCTGCATTGAAGTCTGCAGCAAAGTCGGTGAAGAACACGTTCCCTTCAAACAAACATAGGCATATTTTGATAAATGAAACATCTTCGTGTGCATAAATGGAATCCCAAATGTCTACTTCGTTTGCAGAATTCGTTCAAGATAATAATACTCTCTGTCAATGCGTTCAACATGTACATACATTTCATACATGATGTATTGACATGGTCCCAGCTGGCAAACAAGAGTTCTAAGAGCTTACTGTTTCGGCATAACTTCATCTTTTCATCTGAGGCAACAGCTTCCTTTTGCACACAACTGGGTCATCACTGATCCATGAATATATTCTTACCGCTATTGTCAACGTTGTCAGGAATTTGTTCTGTTGGCAAATCGAAATTGGTTATTCACTAGCATTCTCAAGCATTGATGTTTCATATTTCTATACAGGAGTATTGGTTGATAACAACATCTTGTGTCACATGACACCAAAACATAAGAGGTATATCTGAAGTAAATACTATTTTATTCAGGAAACAATAGTCAGAGTTAGTAACCCGAACAGACTAAATGTTTATATTTCCCTTTAAAATAATACGTGTTTCAACACACAACAATGTTAAATAAACACACGTTTGTGTTTACCGTTATGCTTGCCCATGTAGCCGTCGTATACATGTAAAATATATAAATGTTGTGTACAGCCATGTGTGGAACTGAATACAATATTGAAATCAGGAACGTGTTCATGAGGCGAGACATTTCAAAACAGTTTACAATTATAAGGTGTTGAAGATCTCCTTTGGTTGACAGCAAAATACAGTTTTTAAACGTGCACGTACCTTAGCTACATCATAAATTATACATATATATATATATATATCCTACACCACGAGATCTGACTTGGTTGTGGTTCAGGGAAAGTTGACAGCAAATTGCTACATGAATCAAATTCTTCAACCTCACCTTCTTCCAATCATTGACCGCCAGAGGGAGCTGTTTCAACAGGACAACGCTCCACTTCACTCAGCTTGTGTCACGGTAGACTACCTCGTTATGCCAACATCAACGCCTTGCCCTGGCCTTTGAGATCGCCAACGCGTTACAAGCAAAATGGCGCCGAATTCCGCAGGACAGAATTCGTACGCTTAACCAGTCAGTGCAGAGGAGATGCAGAACCGTGATTGCTGCCCCGGGCGGTCACACGAGATACTGATTTTAGTGCAACGTTGTGGCCTTATGTGACATGTCAATGAACAATTTTCAATGCCTTTATACAACGACAATATGTGACTATCGAGGTCCAAAATTTCATATTTGCATCTATGATATTCAATTAAATATATCGACTTTATCCAGTCACAGGATTGTAACCGATGGCACCCGTCACAAACACATGCAAAGACATGTCAATCCTCGGAAATATGATGGTACTATTAACACGAGAGTTGGGGAATCAGAATGATATGTGACTGTCTGTCGTCAGTATATATACCTATTCTAGCAACTACAGATAATCTCGTTGACCGATTAAACTGACGATAAAGTTGTTATTGCGTACTTTGGTGACGTTCTCGTGCTTTTGTGTCAATTGCCTATACAGTCATATGCATCTATTTTCAAAAACGCGAGAACGCGAGATTGCGACACTTGACCAATGTCGCGATCCCGCGTTCTCGTGCTTTTGTGTCAGTTGCCTTTACAGTTATATGCAACTATTTTCAAAAACGCCAGAACGCGAGATTGCGTTTATTGTTTTCTTATCGAACCATTATCGAAATAATAAAGGTCGACCACATTCTCCAAGAACAGCATCATTACAAGCACTCCAAAGTTCAGAGCCGTATGTTAGGATCGGCAGAACCATGCTGTCGAAAATCTTTACGGTCATAAATTGGTAAGCCGTCACACATAAAGTGCAATCTGTATATGAGTAAGCATACTCTCTCCGCCTGCTTTGCCAACATCTGTCTCGATCTCGACCAAACAGGTTTAGGTGTAAACAAAATACCAAGATATTTATAAAAGGAGACGGTTTCGATCTGAGAGACCCTGTAATACCATTTTTCATACTGCCGTAGATATCCACCATTTCGGAATACAACAATCTTCGATTTTTCACAGAAGTTGCTAACGCAATTTATTTGTTCTTGTAGTTTGCCTGTGGAATCTGCAGCGTTAGCGACATCATCAGCATAGAGAAGTGAACATATATTCAGATAATCTTCAATTATTAACATGCCTCTTCTGTTTGAAGTAGTCATCTCAGTAACCAATTCGTTGATGTATAATGAAAATAACAGTGGGCTGATCACACATCTTTGGCGAGTACCAACCCAGGACTGAAAAAAATCTTTTAAACCTTGATCTGTCCGTACACAAGTATATAGTTTGAAATACATATTTCTTAAAACAGTTCCATGTATTCCATAGCTAATAAGTTGATGCCAAAGTAAAGTGTGATTTACGCAATCCAAGGTTTTTGAAAACAGTTTTAATGAATCAAGTTGGGGTCAAGTGATAGTTGTACAAATATTTGCCCCCCTGTCAAAAAAGTTAACTACGGCCTTGCAGTGCCACTGATGATTTAATATATTTCCACAGTTCATCAGGGTTGTCACGAATACATTAAATTTTATCTCTGATTCCTTTTACTATCATGACACACTGATTTAAATATTCGCGTCTTTTGTTTACAACTTTGCAAATCAAGTAAAGCGTCAGTCAGTCAATCTAAATTTGTCCAAGGCCCAATACGTTTCACGCTTGGCTGTCTCACACTGCATGTTCCACCACGCGGGCTGTCACGTGACCTATGTCGTCTGCTCATTGAAGCTGCTATCGCTTGAAAAGATGTGATATCTTATTGACGGCGTTATCAATATCCTTATACATTTCAGCATTAACATCCTCAATCAGTGACTTTGAAACATCATCAGGGATTATATATCCCCGCCTTTCATCCCTATGGTTTAAACTCCCCAAAAGCCACCCCCGCCGAAAGCTTTCAACTGTGTCTCAGTGAGAGCGGAAATGAAAGCGATACAGGCCGTGATCCAACTTGGATACTCCCTCACAAGTCTCCACCAGAGCTTGATGTCACCTCCACAATGGTAATTATTATATGACGGCACGTTACATAGCAATAACTGCGTGATAATGTACATGTTCTACGTACATTCGTCGCTTAATTACAAGTGAATGAGATAGAAATGAAAGATGTCGATAATAAGTAAGTATGTCACTCACGGAGAATTATAATCTGGAGGTACAGTGAAGCTCTGGTAGAATACCAGTAGATTCGACTGCGCAAAACATACTTAATGCACAAAATTCGTTTGGAATTTGATATATAATGCATAGTTCGGGATCATTTACACTAACATCTGGTTCCATCTGCATCGGATTACCATGGATTATCATCGTAATTACATAAAAAACGGCCTGTATATACGCTCTTCAAAACAAGAAACGCGCAGGTAGATTTTTAGTAAATTTATTGTACCTAATAAAATCGATATATTTAAATTAATATCATAGATACATATATGAAATTTTGGAGCTCGATAGTCACATGTTGTCGTTGTATAAAGGCATTGAAAACTGTTCATTGTCATGTCACATAAGGCCATAAGGTTGCGCAGAACTCATTATCTCGTGTGACTGACCCGGGCAGCAATCACGGCTCTGCATCTCCTCGGCACTGACTGGATAAGTGTCCGAATTCTGTCCTGCGGAATTCTGCCTCTAACGCGTTGGCCGGTTGTGGGAGTGTCTGCGGCGTGATCAGACGTTGACGTTCACGTCGATCGAGTTCATCCCAGAGGTGTTCGATTGTGTTGAGATCTGGAGATTTCGACGGCCAGGGCAAGACGTTGATGTTGGCATTATCAGGTAGTCTACCGTGACACGAGCTGTGTTCGGTGGAGCGTTGTCCTGTTGAAATTTGATTCACGTACACAATGTGGGGCAAAACGCTCATTTCGACGACAATAAACACGTTGTCTTCCATCTCGCCGATGAAGAAGAAATCGTGATTCATCGCTAAACCACACTCATCCCCAGCTTCTCAAATTGCAAGGCTGTAAGGTATGTCACCAACTCAAGCGTCACTGTCGATGGATCTGTTGCAAAACAGGGACGATAACTGGTCTTCTGGGTCCGATTCCAGCCTCGCGAAGATGGTTCCTGACAGTCTAGTCTGATATCCTCCTCAAACCAGGGATGCGTCCTGCAGTCTCCATAGCTGTGGCATTGCGATGACGTAGGTGGAACAGTCGAATGTAGCGATCCTGTGCAGGGATGGTAACTCTTGTTCGGCAGGTTCTCGGGCGGTCTGCAGTGGAATTGAACTGTGTGTATCGCTCACAAAGGCGGAAAATGGTGCTGTGGTGGGCGTTGAAGTGGCGTGCGACAGAATACTGCGATTCCCCTCTTTGGATACGTCCCATGGCGATGTTCCGATCGGCAGTGCTGAGTCTCGACATTTTCGAACTTGAAAAATGTTGACAATTGAATGACAAATTATTGGCTTATGTTTGCCTTTTATAGCCACTACCACGAGTTACAAATGCCATAACTTGCACGTGCATTTGCTTTAATGTTTTCCTCCATGATATTTTTGAACACGTGTGAAAACAAAGCCGTTTAAGACATTGCAAATCGACAATGGCTGCGTTTTGACGCACCGTGTGTCGAATATCAGGCCACCAACATTTTCCAGTAACATATATCCAATTTATATACCGGATTTTTTGTGTAGTCAGGGTTCAATACTACATACTACTTGTGCGTTTCTTTTTTTGAAGAGTGTATCTTCATATATTGGCCAACTAAACAAAGAAACAAGTGATCACTTACAGACATCTATGGAAATATGACAATAAATTTATAGAGGTGTTTTTTTTCTCTTTAATTTCAGGGGATTCGCGCGTCCAGTGTGAGAAAGAGAAAACGAGAGGTTTGTAGCGTACACGTTACTCTTTTTTAAAGATAAATGCATGGTTGTAAGTATTATACTTGGTAACTGTTTTTTATTGAATTTACACTTTCCTCGTTTATCTGCAAATGATGTTCTAACCATATTTCATCATTAATGTTTATATCTGAGCGAACAAAGAAAAGGACAAATGCTGCAAAGAAGGTGAATTTAGGTTTCCTTTCACATTATTGTCATGAATAGTTATTGCAGTAAAGAACTGATCTCGTCTTATCAACCAGACTACACAGATAACTGTAAAGTGCATGACAGTATCAGAAAGCCTGTCGCTTAGTTATAACCAGTGCTTGTATGTTGTATGACCTAAAACAATCTTCATCACATTGTTATAGTTCCTGATTCTTGGAAGAGGGCAAGCCAGTCTATGAATGAATCGTCTCCTCCTACCTCCCCACTTCTGATTCATCTCCACCTTCTGAAACGACTCCCTCCACATTGTCACCACGCCATGTCTCAACCACAACAGGACTGTCTGACCATACCAGTGACGCAGATATCGACACACTGAAGCTTGAAGTCGCCAGCCTCAAGAAGGAAATGCAGGCATTGCGACTGTCAGTGGAGTCGATGGTTTCTGACACCACATCATCATCACCAATACCAGCACTCCCGTGTCGGACTCCCCCTCCCTCCCTCAACGACACTCACTGCTGTATTGCCATCCGCTACGTCATTGACATCACCGAACGCCAACATCATCACAGAAAGCAGATATGGGGGATTGCCTAAAAGTCGGGCCAGGAAAAGTAGGGCCGGGCCGGGCCAGCGGCTAATACTAAAAATGGATTGCAGAATAATAAAACAAAACATGCATATCTTGGTAAATCTGAAATGTCCACAACGTATAGTTTTGTTCAATTTATTGAGCTTGAATCAAAATTTATATTCAACAATGTAATCAAGTGATAATTACGACTACATTCCGAGAGTCCTCGTAGAAAAATCAGTGCCTTGACTGTGTGTTTTCTTTGATGAGAAGGTTTCTCGTCGACCGTAGTATGTACACTACATTTCATAAGTAACTTCCCCTATTTTCGCGAAAATTTCGCGAAATTTTCTCGCCACTATTGCGGCACTTACGCGAAATTATCGCGCCACCTTTGAGCCATTAACGCGAAACTATTGCGCCACTTTCGAGACACTTTCGCGCCATTTTCGCGATAACATTTTACAAGATCGCGGCACTTTCGCGCCACTTTCACGGCACTATCGCGCCACTTTCACGCCACTTTCGCGCCACTTTCACGCCACTTTCGCGCCACTTTCACGCCACTTTCGCGCCACTATCGCGACACTTTCGAGACAGAATAGTCACGCTATCTTGTGACAGTTGTGCTAAATGTACGGTACAATTTATTGTATTACTTTTTTCCTTGACTGATTTTGAGTTACGTTTTCCATGACATGCTACTCTGCATTATTTAAGATCATAGTGTAAAGCTTCTTTTCCTTTTACCAATACCGATAGCTATACTTTATTTAGACTTCAAATGTAAGGTGATCTTGTGGTCATGACTCCAATCACAAATACTCGTACACACATTAGCTGAGGTGATTTTCACGGCAACAAATAAGATAGAACAGAATCAAACACTATCATGTGTCGGCCAAAATGACCGTCAGGAAACCTCATAACCAACTAATGTTTTGTGCATGTCTAGTATCCCATAATGTTTCGTGATAAGTTTCATTCTGAATATAATGTGAATTAGTCTGGACAAAATCGTTCGGTTTTTAAAGATTTCCTATGGTAAACGAAGTCCTTCACAAATATTACGTCGTTAGGTATTTGTATTACACAGTTCTTGATGTGTGGACGACTATTAACATTGTAAAAGAATACGCTTTTTATAGGAAACAAAATAAACAAAACCATTTCCATAATTTACTTCTTTTCCATTCCATTCCGACTATATCATAAGCATGTGTTAATGAATCATACTCATGAATCAGGTCAGAGCGTATCCACCACAAACACATGCAAATGCAAGTCAGGTATTTGCAAGTCAAAGACACACATGTACAGTTACCACATTGAAATAACACAACTTTATATGAAGCTTCTGAAATAAACTTAGGGAAGAGCTGGTTTCGTGTTTTAGAGGAAGACACTAGAATATACATGTATGTATTTACATAGACTTATCAGGCTGATTATACACTACTGCCTAAAAGTTCATTCCCCTAACACGCGTTGAGAACGCGTGTAACAAGCATGTGACACGGGTGCTCAACAGGTTGCACACGGGGTGAGCACCCGTTGGACACGGGTGTGCAACGGGTGTGCAGCGCGTGTGAAACCCGTTGCACACGCGTGTGCCACGCGTGTAACACGGGACCGGGTTACAGGTGAAGTTGACAAAATTATCAAATGAATAGTGAGATAAAACAAAACAGTGAGATGTGAAATTTGAGTTAATGAGCGGTCATTGTGCTGTGTTCACCAGACCGTAAATACAAGGTCGGCCCGTCTTAATTACTGTTCGGTTGTTAGACTTTTATGGCATGAACCATTCCACTAGGGTCCCGTCTAGCCATTGCGGCCAGCCGACAGTAGAACAGTAGTGAATTTAGATGCGTGTTTATTGCTAGGGGAACCCCCGTGTTGACACGATTGTCGCGGGTTGGTAAATGTTCGCCATTAATAAAATGATTGTTTGTGGATTGCGAACATATTCATTTGCCCACACGAGTCATTCCATTTGATTGCAAATATAACGTTTTTCGTTCCCCAAATTTATGCTTTAGACAGTACAATTATGATATAGCCGTCACCACTACTAATGTCTCATTATTTCACGTAGGAATATGTCCCATTTCCCCACACCCCACTTTCTGTTTTGTATTTTGAAAGAATAAATAAAAGAAGGTTTTGTGTGGGACACTTTTATACTAATTATAAGAGGATGTTGTAAATGAATATGAACAGCCATGTTGTCTGACTTGATAGAATTTGAGATCTTCACAATCACCGGGTGTGACCATGTAGACAGAATCTCGTTAGGGTTTGTGATTTTTACATTTGCCCAATGACCATAGTGAGTATTCCTGGGGATACCAAACGTAACAGTTTATTATTAGAGGTTGTGAGTACCTATACCACGTAGATAGGATATCTTTAGGATTTTAATCCTTCTTTGAGAGGCATTTAGAAGTTGGAGTACTACGTTAGGATAAGATTTATGGGTGACTTTAATCCTTTCTTTCTCTGTGGGTAATCCTTTCACGTTGATTGGAGAAAATCACTCAACCAGGTCATGACAGGTCGTGAGTTTACTCACTAACTACTGTGAGCGTTTTTGGCATAACATCTTTTCTTGTATAAACATAGAAACGATGCTCACTCACTCACTGTTAATCTTCTGCAGTTTGCTGGCAATTTGGGATAAACCTCAGTGTCAAAGACGATCAAACTTAGTTCGAATCCTTGTTTATATGTGACATCTCCCAAATAGGGACATTTTCATAAACTTGGCAAGTGATGATGAATTTTAATATTAATATTATTATAGTTTATGAAATTGTTAATAAAACTTTAATAAAACTGTGCTTCACTCTCACGAAAAATATATTGTCTGTGAGTACATTTATATGTCACGTTTCATCGGCATTTTTCAGTGATATTGGGACTACATGAAACATGGCTGGTTTTACATTTCTGATACAGGTGCTTGACTGACTGAGTAGTTCATGATCAATAAGATATGTTAAATCAGTCAAGTTTGCAACATTTGGACCGCAGTTACCGATTAACAACTTAAGACATAGAGACAGGGAAGAGATATATAACCAAACCTATGGTCCTGTTGAGACAGTTGACAGTTAGAACGTTGGATTAAATGACAGTAACTAATTTGAACATTCCCCAGTAATATCATAAAATACATCATAACTCATAACAGTCCGAGAAACAGCTTCCAGCCATATACTAGTATTGAAGGGACAATCGCTTTTGACAGTTTAAAAATAAACTCACCTTAAGGTGCTTGGCGAGTCAAAACTGACCTCCCTGAATATGTTTTTTAGGTTTGACAGCAACTATGCTTGTGGATTTCAGAGATAGACATGATTTGTTAGCTAGATGTTATTACAATAAGCGAAAATGTCTTAAAACTCCACAGTTTGTTTAATAGTACAAAAAGTGTGTTATAGATCTATCAACGTTTTCTTTTATTAAACATAATATTTGCACTATACTGCTGTTAGCTGTAAATAATCTAGCCTCCCCATGTACGTAACTTACATATATTTATGTATGACCAGAACAGCAAATAAAGTACTAGTAGATAGGTACCTCGGAGATTTAACGTGCGCTTTCCGACTTAAGCCTATCTCGCACACGGGGAAGCACTTATACTATTATTATACTATAGCTGTCAAAAAATACGATAATATCAGAAACACAAATGAAGGTTGATTCTTCAGGTAATACGACCTTTGGATTTCCGCTTGGGCTTTCTAGCTGCCGTGAGTCAATTTGCTCGTTAACGCAACCGAGCGTGACAAGAGACTGGGCTACCAGTCTGCAGGGACAGCTAAATAAGCTTACGCATTTTTGAAAACTGATTGGTTACCCGTGATCTATGAAGATTTCAACAAAGGGCGCATGGTAATTAATTTCTTCAGCCTAAACAAACAGACAAATAACGGCGAAAGCTCATCGGATGTCGTTATTTGGAAATACCCCTGATGGTTACAGTTTAATAATAAAAAAGTATCCCTGAGTGAAAGCATTTGCGGATTTCGGATTGCGTGGATGATACAATTACTACTCCCTTGTTGTCATCCACATTTTCTGGTATAACCCTACACTTGTGTATTTGTCGTAATTCACTTGCTGCTCAGTTAATGAATTTATAACATGTATACTTAGTTGTAGCACCACTCATATTATAAAGGTTCAAATTTGGTCTTTCTTGTACCTGGGGTAATTATTCAATCTAAATCCAGGTTTGAAGTGAGATGGAATGTGAGTTATGTGATACGCACGTGGCAGCCCAGCAAGAGATGTATGGTCAGTTGCTTTACTTTTTTTGTAAATCAACTGATCATTCCCAGACATCAAAGGATCAACAGGAAATACGTTGATTGATTAATTACTGTTATCTTGCACAGTGGATATGTCAAAAGTAAGTGTTTACATGTGAAGGTATGTTTACTAAACCTAGGCAATACACTCATATCATGGCGTGAAGTACAGATTAAAAACAACGTACTTTGTTCAAAGGGTAACCGATAATACACTGACTGGTTGTTCATTGTTATCTAACTCAATGTATGTTTTTAAGAACCGAGGACATTATAAAAATAGTTGTCACGTGGGCTTTCTCAGCTAACTTGGCAGCTATGTGAAACAATTGAAACAAACTAAGTGATCAGCTAAGAAACAAACACGGGTTATAATATTCGATACATTTAAATAACGTTTAAAACGATATATTTAAATATTTTAATATATTTCATATATATTCCAAATATTGTTTCCAAATAATTATTATTAAAGTATTTGATTCTCACATAGACATTTGACATCGAATCAGTATTTTTGTACAGCTGCAGACGCAATGGATATTGTTCCTTTATGTTGATATTCCCGGATACATTATAACTTTGGTAGGTTGTAATAATTATATTTGCATTTTGTTTTCATTC